TTCAATTTTTTGAATTCTCAATTTATCGAATTCAGATGTTTCGTTGTTTTGATTGTTCAATTCCTCGATTTATTAATTTTTCAATTGCTTCTTCGATTTTTGGATTTCTCGGTTTTTCGATTTTTTAGTTGTCCGATTTTTCAATTTTTTAAATTTTACATTTTTCCATTTCTCGATTTTTTGAATTTTTAGTTCTTCAGTATTTCGATTTATCAATTTTTCAAATTTTGATTTTGTTAAATTTTCAGTTTTCCGATTTCTCAATTAATCTATTTTTGATTTTCCCACTTCTCAAACTTTCGATTTTTCAGTTCTTCAAGTCTTAGATTTTTCGACTTCGCTTTATTGGTTTTTCGACTTCTCAATTTTTGGATATTTCTTTCAGTTTTGAGATTTTTCAATATCTCGATTCTTCGACTTCTAGATTTTTCGATTTTTTATTTTTGGATTTTCAGTTTTTTTTTTTAAACTTTAGATTTTTCAATTTTTCGATTGTTTTATATTTGAATTTCTCAATTTTTCGACTTTTCCATATTTTAATTTTTCAGTTTTTAAATTTCTAGATTTTTCGATTTCTCGAGTTTCCAGGTCTATATTTTAATTTTTCAATTTTTCGAATTTTTTAATTTTCGATTTTCCAGTTTTTCTTTTTTAAAATTTTTCAATTATTCAATTTTTTGAATTCTCAATTTATCGAATTCAGATGTTTCGTTGTTTTGATTGTTCAATTTCTCGATTTATTAATTTTTCAATTGCTTCTTCGATTTTTGGATTTCTCGGTTTTTCGATTTTTTAGTTGTCCGATTTTTCAATTTTTTAAATTTTACATTTTTCCATTTCTCGATTTTTTGAATTTTTAGTTCTTCAGTATTTCGATTTATCAATTTTTCAAATTTTGATTTTGTTAAATTTTCAGTTTTCCGATTTCTCAATTAATCTATTTTTGATTTTCCCACTTCTCAAACTTTCGATTTTTCAGTTCTTCAAGTCTTAGATTTTTCGACTTCGCTTTATTGGTTTTTCGACTTCTCAATTTTTGGATATTTCTTTCAGTTTTGAGATTTTTCAATATCTCGATTCTTCGACTTCTAGATTTTTCGATTTTTTATTTTTGGATTTTCAGTTTTTTTTTTTAAACTTTAGATTTTTCAATTTTTCGATTGTTTTATATTTGAATTTCTCAATTTTTCGACTTTTCCATATTTTAATTTTTCAGTTTTTAAATTTCTAGATTTTTCGATTTCTCGAGTTTCCAGGTCTATATTTTAATTTTTCAATTTTACGAATTTTTAAATTTTCGATTTTTCAATTTTTTGAGATCTCGAATTATTGAGATTCGGATGTTTCGATGTTTTCTAGATTTTTTTGGATTTTTTATTTTTGGATATTTTAATTTTTCAGTTTTTAAATTTCTAGATTTATCGATTTCTCGAGTTTCCAGGTCTATTTTTTAATTTTTCAATTTTCCGAATTTTTAAATTTTCGATTTTGCAATTTTTCGACTCCTCGATTTTTGGTCTTTTGATTTTTCGATTTCTGAATTTTTCGATGTTTCAATGATACGATTTCTCAATTTTTGTCCTCTTCAATTTTACGGTTTTTAAATATTTCGATTTTTCAATTTTTTAAATTTTCGCGTTTCTAAATTTTCAGTTTTCTAAAGTATTTTTTTTATTTTTCCATTTCTCGACTTCCTAAAGTTTCGATTTTTCACTTTTTCAATTTTTCGATTTCCCAAGTTTCCAATTTTTTTGATATTTCTTTCAGTTATGAGATTTTTCAATATTTCGATTTTTGAATTTTGATGGATTTTTTTTTGATTTTTCGATTTTTTATTTTTTGGATTCTCAATTTATTGTTAAACTTTACATTTTTCAATTTTTCGACTGTTTTATACTTCGATTTTTCAATTTTTCAACTTTTCGATGTTTTAATATTTCAGTTTTTAACATTGTAGGTTTTCGATATCTCGAATTTTCAGTTCTTCTATATTTGACAATTTTTCAATTTTTCAAATTTGTTAATTTTCGATTTTTCCGTTTTTCTTTTTTAAAATTTTTCAATTATTCAATTTTTTGATTTCTCAATTTATCGAATTCAGATGTTTCGTTGTTTTGATTGTTCAATTCCTCGATTTATCAATTTTTCAATTGCTTCTTCGATTTTTGGATTTCTCGGTTTTTCGATTTTTTAGTTGTCCGATTTTTCAATTTTTTAAATTTTCCATTTTTCCATTTCTCGATTCTTTGAATTTTCAGTTCTTCAGTATTTATATTTATCAAATTTTCAAATTTTGATTTTGTTAAATTTTCGGTTTTCCGATTTCTCAATTAATCTATTTTTGATTTTCCCACTTCTCAAAGTTTCGATTTTTCAGTTCTTCAATTCTTCGATTTTTCGACTTCGCTTTATTGGTTTTCGATTTCTCAATTTTTGGATATTTCTTTCAGTTTGGAGATTTTTCAATATTTCGATTCTTCGACTTCTAGATTTTTCGATTTTTTATTTTGGATTTTCAGTTTTTCTTTTTTTAAACTTCAGATTTTTCAATTTTTCGATTATTTTATATTTCAATTACTCAATTTTTCAACTTTTCCATATTTTAATTTTTCAGTTTTTAAATTTCTAGATTTTTCGATTTCTCCAGTTTCCAGGTCTATATTTTAATTTTTCAATTTTCCGAATTTTTAACTTTTCGATTTTTTGCTTCTCGGTTTCTCGATTTTGGAATTATACGATTTTTCAATTTTCCAACTTTTTAAATTTTCGAATTTCGATTTCTTCATTCGTTGATTTTTCAGTTTTTCGATTTTTAATTTTTGATTGTTTAATGTTTGGATTTCTTCATTGTTCAATTTTTAACTTTTCAATTTTTCAGTTCAATATTTTCTAATTTTGACGTTTCTGAATTTTCATTTTTCGAATTTCTCAATTAATCTATTTTTTTAAATTCCAATTTCTCCAGTTCCCAAAGTTTCAATTTTTCAGTTCTTCAATTTTTCGATTATTCAGGTTTTTTATTTTTCAGTTTTTCGATTCTTCTATTTTTGAATTTTTCGATATTTGAGTTTTGGGATTTTTTAGTATTTCGACTTTTCGAGTTCGGGATTTTTCGATTTCTTAACCTTTTACTTTTTGGATCTTCAATTTTCCGTTTTTTAAACTTTAGATATTTCAATGTTTTAACGATTTCGAAATTTTAACTTTTCAATTTTTAAAATTTTACATTTTTCGATTTCTCGATTTTTCATTTCAGTTCTTCGATATTTCAGTTTTTCAAGTTTTCAAATTTTTCAAATGTTTTGATTTCTTAATCAATCGATTTTTCGATTTGCCGGTTTTAGATTGTCTGTTTTTCAACTGTTTTTTTCAAATTTTCGAACATTTATAAATTGTCAATTTTTCGATTTTTCAATTAATCGATATTTTGATTTTCGCATTTCTTGACTTTCAAGGGTTTCGATATTCCTGTTCTTCAATTCTTTAATTTTTCGATTTTTCAGGTTTTTGATCTTTTATTTTTTAATTTTTTTAAGGTTTCAATTTGTCGACTTCACTTTTTGGATTTTTCTATTGATCAATTTTTCGACTTTTCAGGTTTTCCATTTTTCAGTTTTTCGATATTTCAGTTTTGGGATTTTTCAATATTTCGATTAGACTTTTGACTCCTGGATTTTTCGATGTGTCGATTTTTTTACTTTTTCGATTTTTCAATTAATCGATGTTTTGATTTTCCCATTTCTTGACCTTCGAGTGTTTCAATTTTCCTGTTCTTCAATTTAATTTTTCAGGCTTTTAATTTTTCAATTTTTTGAGGTTTCTATTTTTCGACTTCACTTTTTTGATTTTTCAGTTTTTAGATATTTCGGATTTAGGATTTTTCAATATTTCAATTCTTCGGCTTTTCTATTTTTGACTTGTGGGTTTTTCGATGTGTCTACGTTTTTACTTTTTCGATTTTTCAATCTTTTGATATTTTAATTTTTCAATATCTCTTAATCTTTCTATTTTTCAATTTGTCAGTTTTTCAATTTTTTATTTTGGCCTATTTCGGTTTCTCAGTTTTTCCAGTTTTCCATTTTTCCGTTTTTTGATTTTTCCGCTTTTCCAATTTTTCAACTTTTAACTGTTTGTTTGTCGACTTCTCTATTTTTCGATTTTTCAACTTCATCGCTTTTCGATTTCTCGTTCTTTGGATCTTTCAATCTCTCAATTTTTCAATTTTTCGAATTTTTAAGATTTTTGATTTCTCGATTTATCGAGATCTGGATTTTTCGATATTTTGATTGTCAATTTCTCAATTTATAAATTGTTCAATTTTTAACTTTTCGACTCCACGATTTCTTGATCTTTTGATTTTTCGATTTCTCAGTTTTTCGATTTTCCACTTCTTCGATATTTCGATTTTTCAATGTTTCGGTTTTATGATTTTTTAAGGTTTCGATTTTTCGATTATTTTAATTGTTTTTTTTTTTCACTGTTAATATCATACAGTGTATCGAAAACAACGACAAAAATTGTCACTAAAAACATTGAAGAAAAAAAATCATACAAAGCGTTTGCTCGAAAAAAATCCATTGGATTAATTCGATTTCAACAATATTCTTAGTTTAAGACGTTTTGCCAGTATAAAACACAAATAAAGAATTAAATCTTAGTTACACAAAATATGTACCAAAAATATTCACTTAGTCGTTATAAAAACCGACCAAACAACTATTTCCCGCAGAAATTATAGTCTAAACCAACCAAATCGCTTCTGAACGCTTAGAGTCGACATTGGTCTGAGCGCGCTCTGGTCTGTAAATCAAACAAGTTTTCAGGCGACGAGTTGTAGTGAAACAAATTTTTTATTGACATCGACTATTTAAATTTGGCACTTGAGGACTCCAATGTCAATAAGGGTGGTTTTGCAAAATCAGCCTGTATGTCGCATCTATATTAATCTATGGTATAGGTCGTCCAACTATACTATACTTAAACAATAGTTATATGTATACCTGACTGAAAAACGTATTTAGCAAGTGATTGCATCAAAGTGGCTGGCCATGTCGGAGGTGCGGTTTCTTCAGGCTCTCTTTTGAGTCGGAATGTCAACTCAAATCCGAAACCTGAGACTCCGTCTGGGGCTGACACGTCGTGGACTCTTCCATCACCATGTAAATCCGAGAGACCGAAACTGAGATTTTTTTAGTACAAATATACAAAAATTCGATATTATTGGGTCATACCTGATGTAATGCCAATGAGGGGGAATGTTTTCTTGTGGAATGCCTGGGTTTGCGTACATAGATATGTAATCTAAAGGATCGGGACCTCCGAGCCTACATTAAGACAAGAATACAACTTTTTAAATAAATTTCATCAATTTTTTGAAAGGAATGAATGCGGGAAAAGAAAAGACCACTTCAATTCTAAAAATAACACCACAAATTAATTTGTCCCGACTCCCCTATTTGCCCAAATATCTAAAGTGAGAAAAAACAGGAAGTGGATTAATGCTGTACTAAAAATAGAATTCACACCTTTAAAATTACTTAAAACCTCTATGACGAAAATCAATAAATATTACTTTCTTGGAACGATATCCACATTAGTTGTTAGTGTTAATTTATTAAATATGCATTTGTAAGAGTGCCACTTTACCAATACTTCAGAAGAGCCGTAACTTGCAACGGATTAACTTGATCGGGGTAAATTTTCCTACACAGAGTGTACAGAGATTCTAATCCTGCGGGCGTAGGCGGAAGAATATTCATCGGGGGTCCATGGGGCAAGGCGGCAGCTTCATTCATTGTTCCAGTTACACCCCAACTAAAAACAAATTAATTACACCAAAATTACAAAACAATACCGCCAACTTACCACAAATTATTAAAAAACCGTGTTTAATAAAACTAAACACTTAAAAGCATTCCATATTTTCTTCCCGTTTGGGCAGGCAAATAAAATAAAATATTTCTGGAATGCCAAAAACAACTTTTAGGCAACCCGCCAAACAAAACAAAAGTCTTTTACGCCGTCCAACCGAACAACCTTAAACTCCCCTAGATTCCATTGCGAGTTTGGTCCACTTGCGGGTAATTCACTCCCGTTAGGTTGGCTGCAAAAAACTACAATTAAATTAACCTAATCTAAACAATCAACACAACAGTTGTGCATTTCTTAATTGTTACGAAATTATTGTTGAAATGGACGTGCATTGCATGATTGTTGCGTATCGGGGTACATACTAAACGCGGAAGTTTCCCAATCGTGCGACCTAGGTGTTCGTTATTGATTTTATTGAACACCTACAATGTTAGATTCTTCACCTGAGGATGAAGACTTCCCGGGACGCCTTTTACATCAAGTACTGTATTTCGTGGATTGCGTTTCCGGTTGCTAAGTTTTTTTGTAGGCTGCATTATGGGACAATACGCATTTGTTGATTGATCTGCTGGAAGGGGGACAACAGGCCTTTTTGAACTCTCAAGACAGTTGGGGGCGCACTCCGCTACATGCGGCTGCGATTAATGAGAATTCTGGGTGTTTATCAATACTGTTAAATGCAGGCGCGGACCCCAATATCTGTTGTGGTCCGAGAGGCGACAAGAAAGTATGTTTTGTGTGGGTAGTAACGTAGAACTGATGCTTGGGTTGCAGATTCCACTACATTTAAGTGCAGAGCATGGTCACAATAGTAACGTGACAATTTTGCTTCAACATGATTCGGATATTAACATTCGAGATGCAAATGAAATGACCGCACTTAATTTGGCAGAAAAAAGTGGGCATGTTAAATGCGTTGCTTTATTGAAGGAAGCGGCGGGTAAGTAATTTTGTTTAAATTTTAAACCAAAAAAGTTGTCACTAGTAATAATAGTTGTCTCATTATCAAAAGGTTGATTTTGATAAGACAAGAAAACAAAAACTTGAAAGTTTTTTGCTTGTTAAGTAGTGGCGTTATTTGGGTTGTTGCTCACATCTAATCAATATTAAACAACGTGATCATCCATATTTTCAATAAATAGAATGAGTTGTAATACAGATCCTTGAAGAATTGTAATTATTTGCAACCAGTTTTATTTAATGTTGCATATTTGGACCACATTTAAGAGTAAGTTTTGATAACTTAAAATGAAGAGAAGAAATGTATTTAGTATGTGTATTAGGAAATCGGGTTAATAGAGCTTGAAAACAATTCCTTTATTCAGATTTTATGCATTATTTTGAGTTTAGATGGATTAGACCGTTATCAGTGGAAGCTAAATAAAGATTAAAATGTGTGTTTTTAAATACGTGTCACGAAAAGGACTTAGGGTTTGTAATCTACGGAAAATTCTCGGTAAGGTGGAGCTTTTTTTTTGTATTTGACTATGATTACGTTTATCAGTTTCGATTTTTAAATTTTTTCATGTACTTGAAGATAACTCAAGTGACCTCAGAATTGCAAACTGAGAAAATTCTAGATAACACAGAGAGAGCGAACAATCGAGATCAGTAATTAAAAGGAATTAAAAAAAAATCGATTTTTCAATTTTTTGAGATCTCGATTTACTGAGATTCGGATGTTTTCAGTTTTCTAAAGTATTTTTTTTATTTTTCCATTTCTCGACTTCCTAAAGTTTCGATTTTTCACTTCTTCAATTTTTCGATTTTTTAAGCTTACGATTTTTCGACTTTGATTTTTTAGTTTTTCGATTTCTCAATTTTCCAATTTTTTAATTTTTCAATTTTTTGGATATTTCTTTCAGTTATGAGATTTTTCAATATTTCGATTTTTGAATTGATGGTTTTTTATTTATCGATTTTTTACATTTTGGATTCTCAATTTATTGTTAAACTTTACATTTTTCAATTTTTCGACTGTTTTATACTTCGATTTTTCAATTTTTCAACTTTTCGATGTTTTAATATTTCAGTTTTTAAAATTCTAGGGTTTTCGATATCTCGAGTTTCAGTTCTTCTATATTTGACAATTTTTCGAATTTTTTAATTTTCGATTTTCCAGTTTTTCTTTTTTAAAATTTTTCGATTATTTTCAATTTTTTGATTTCTCAATTTATCGAATTCAGATGTTTCGTTGTTTTGATTGTTCAATTTCTCGATTTATCAATTTTTCAATTGCTTCTTCGATTTTTGGATTTCTCGGTTTTTCGATTTTTTAGTTGTCCGATTTTTCAATTTTTTTAATTTTACATTTTTCCATTTCTCGATTTTTTGAATTTTCAGTTCTTCAGTATTTCTATTTTTCAATTTTTCAAATTTTGACTTTGTTAAATTTTCAGTTTTCCGATTTCTCAATTAATCTATTTTTGATTTTCCCACTTCTCAAAGTTTCGATTTTTCACTTCTTCACTTTATTGGTTTTTCGATTTCTCAATTTTTGGATATTTCTTTCAGTTTTGAGATTTTTCAATTGTATCTCGATTCTTCGACTTCTAGATTTTTTGATTTTTTATTTTTGGATTTTCAGTTTTTCTTTTTTTAAACTTTAGATTTTTCAATTTTTCGATTGTTTTATTTTTCAATTTCCCAATTTTTCAAATTTTCCATATTTCAATTTTTCAGTTTTTAAATTTCTTGATTTTTCGATTTCTCGAGTTTCCAGGTCTATATTTTAATTTTTCAATTTTCCGAATTTTTAACTTTTTGATTTTGGCCTATTTCGGTTTCTCGTTTTTCGATTTGTTGGTTTTTCGATTTTTTGCTTCTCGGTTTCTCGATTTTTGAATTATCCGATTTTTCAATTTTCCAACTTTTTAATTTTTCGAATTTCGATTTCTTCTAAATAAAGATTAAAATGTGTGTTTTTAAATACGTGTCACGAAAAGGACTTAAGGTTTGTAATCTACGGAAAATTCTCGGTAAGATGGAGCTTTTTTTTTATATTTGACTATGATTACGTTTATCAGTTTCGATTTTTAAATTTTTTTATGTACTTGAAGATAACTCAAGTGACCTCAGAATTGCAAACTTAGAAAATTCTAGATAACACAGAGAGAGCGAATAATCGAGATCATTAATTAAAAGAAATAAAAAATTGTTAAAATCGAAAAATTGAAAAACCGAAATGTCAAAAAATTGAAAAATTAAAGTATCCAAAAAATGAAAAATCCAGAAATTAAAAAGTTCTCGAAACTCATAAATTAAGAAATCTAAAAATCAAAAAGTCGAAAAATGTAAAATTGGAAAATTTGAAAATTTTTCGAAATCCTAATTTAAGAATTTAGACTTTTCGATTTCTCGACTTTTGATTGTTTTGACTTTTCAAAGAAGAACACCAATTTTTCGATTTCTCAATTTTCAGGTTTTTGAATTTTCAATTTTTTGATTTTTCGATTTCGATTTCTCGATTTTTCAATTTTCCTATTTCTCAATTTTTCGATGTTTCAGTTTTGGAATTTTTCAATTTTTCGTTTATTCAATTTTTCGATTTTTCAGTTTCTCAATTTCAATTTTTCGATTATTCAATTTTACGACTTCAATTTTTCGATTTTTCAATTTTTGAGGTTTCAAAATTTTCAATGTTTCGATTTCTCGATTATTTGATTTTTTGATTTCTCGACTTTTCAAAATTTCGATTTTTCAGTTTTTCAATTCTTCAGTTTTTTTATGTTGCAGTTTTTCGATTTTCAGGTTTCTGCTTTTTCGAATTTTCGTTTTCTCACATTTTCAATTTTTCGAAATTTTAATTTTTCAATTTTTTAAATTTCAGATTTTTCGATTTCTCGATTTTTCAATTTTTCGAATTTTTCAATTTTTGATTTTTCCATTTTTCGGTCTGTAAATTGTTTTTTCGATTTTTTATTTTGAACTTTTCGTTTTTGGCCTATTTCGGTTTCTAAATTTTTCGATTTCTCGATTTTTTTCTTGACTTTTCGGCTTTTTGATTTTCCAATTTATCGATGTTTCGATTTTTCAATTTTTCAAAATTTTAATTTTTTAATTTTTAAAATTTTTCAATTTTTCGAAATTTTAATTTTTTAATTTTTAAAATTTTAGATTTTTCGAATTGTCGATTTTTCAGTCCTCCGATGTTTCAATTTTTCGAATTTTTAAATTTTAGATTTATCAATTTTTCGATTTTTGATATTTCGATTTGTCCGTTTTTCAACTTTTCGAAATTTCAGTTTTCCAATTTTTAATATTTTAGATTTTTCGATTTCTCGATTATTTGATTTTCCTATTTCCCGATTTCTCGACATTTCAAAATTTCGATTTTTCAGTTTTTGAATTTTTCAATTTTTGATTTTTCGATATTTCAATTTTTTGGTTTCTAAATTGTTCGATTTCTGAATTTTTCGACTTCTTGACTTTTCGATTTCTCGATTTTTCGATTTCTTGGCTTTTCGGCTTTTTGATTTTCCAATTATCGATGTTTCGATTTTTCAATTTTTCGAAGTTTAAATTTAACAATTTTAAAAATTTTAGTTTTTTCGAATTGTCGACTTTTCGATTTTTCAGTTTTTCGATGTTTCCATTTTTGGATTTTTTAAATTTTAGATTTTTTAGAACTTTGCTATTTCGATTTTTCGATTTTTAAAATTTTGATTTTTCGATTTTTCACTTTTTCGATTTTTCAATTTTCCTATTTTTCGAATTAATCGACATTTCGATGTTTTCATTTTTCGATTGTTCAATTTCTAGATTTTTCGATTTTAGATTTATCAATATTTCGATTTTTGAATTGATGGATTTTTTTTTATTTATCGATTTTTTACATTTTGGATTCTCAATTTATTGTTAAACTTTACATTTTTCAATTTTTCGACTGTTTTATACTTCGATTTTCAATTTTTCAACTTTTCGATGTTTTAATATTTCAGTTTTTAAAATTCTAGGGTTTTCGATATCTCGAGTTTTCAGTTCTTCTATATTTGACAATTTTTCAATTTTTCGAATTTTTTAATTTTGGATTTTCGAGTTTTTCTTTTTTAAAATTTTTCGATTATTTTCAATTATTTGATTTCTCAATTTATCGAATTCAGATGTTTCGTTGTTTTGATTGTTCAATTTCTCGATGTATCAATTTTTCAATTGCTTCTTCGATTTTTGGATTTCTCGGTTTTTCGATTTTTTAGTTGTCCGATTTTTCAATTTTTTTAATTTTACAGTTTTCCATTTCTCGATTTTTTGAATTTTCAGTTCTTCAGTATTTCTATTTTTCAATTTTTCAAATTTTGACTTTGTTAAATTTTCAGTTTTCCGATTTCTCAATTAATCTATTTTTGATTTTCCCACTTCTCAAAGTTTCGATTTTTCAGTTCTTCAATTCTTCAATTTTTCGACTTCGCTTTATTGGTTTTTCGATTTCTCAATTTTTGGATATTTCTCTCAGTTTTGAGATTTTTCAATTGTATCTCGATTCTTCGACTTCTAGATTTTTTGATTTTTTATTTTTGGATTTTCAGTTTTCCTTTTTTTAAACTTTAGATTTTTCAATTTTTCTATTGTTTTATTTTTCAATTTCTCGAGTTTCCAGGTCTATATTTTAATTTTTCAATTTTTCGAATTTTTAAGTTTTCGATTTTGGCCTATTTCGGTTTCTCAATTTTTCGATTTTTCGATTTGTTGGTTTTTCGATTTTTTGCTTCGGTTTTTCGATTTTTGAATTATCCGATTTTTCAATTTTCCAACTTTTTAATTTTTCGAATTTCGATTTCTTCTAAATAAAGATTAAAATGTGTGTTTTTAAATACGTGTCACGAAAAGGACTTAAGGTTTGTAATCTACAGAAAATTCTCGGTAAGATGGAGCTTTTTTTTTTATTTGACTATGATTACGTTTATCAATTTCGATTTTTATTTTTTTTTATGTACTTGAAGA